AAAAAAAAAAAAAAAAAAAAAAAAGCTCATCGAGTTCGATCATCAGGACTGGAACACGGGTCTGTGTTTCAACAGTTCATGGGTGTACAGACTGACTGAGGACATACTTGTGCACTAGGATCTTTTTACTCATTTTTGGACGTAATTGCGGCCAGATAAAACCATTCGCGAGAGAGCTAGTGTGAGTATGCCCTGAGCTAGGGTCTTGGATGCCGTCTCTGTGCAACTCTGCCCAGGATGGTAATCTTGATGGGAAGTAAGGGCATACTCACACTAGGACTTTTCCTCTCTGCAGCGGACGTCGTTGCTGTCCGCAGCGGACGTCGTTGCAATAAGATACATGGAGGATGGGCCCAAATTGTAGTCCGGCACATTCACGGAAGTCCTAGCGTGAGTATATGCCCCTACTTCCCCATTTTCTGCACTTAACTGTTCACCTTTGCCTTGCTGGCAGGGCGGTGCATTTTTTCAGTCCGGGATACATCCAGGGCTGGCCGGAAGTGGGGTCAGATGCCATTTAACATGTTCGTGCGCCCCAACTGTGCTTTCACCTCTTTTTTGTTTTCTTTCTACTTTTTTTCCACTTCGGTGCTTCGCGGTGCCCTTCAAGGACGGTCCAGCGGTCCTCCTGCCACCGCTGGGATGGAGGCCTTGATGGGGGTTTTCTTGGGAAAAAAAAAAAAAAAAAAGACAGTACACGGCGGCAGCCTTGCTGAAAAGAAAACTCGTAGTCGATGAAAGTTTGGAGGTTCGACCTACCGGAGGACGGACATGGACTGCAGGATTTGTGGGATGCAAAATGCAAAAGGGGATAAAAGAAGACAGTCAAATTCTTAGGAAAAATTGGATGCAAAGTGCACCTCGGTGGCAGCCGAGACCCCCTCGTATTGTTTCAAGAAATTGGAATTTAGGCTATTTAGCTGTAGATTTACAAACTGATGTATGTTCATATGGGACGCTGGGCCCGGTTCCCAGCACGTGCTGCTCCCCACGAATAGACTGGAGCCTTTTAAAAAAAAAAAAAAAAAAGCTGTAGATTCTCAACTTGTATCCAAAACAACAGAGTATAGAAAAGTGAT